ACGATTATATAGATAAATGTGAAAAATAACCGACATTACATGCACTTGAATTGTGGTATTGTTATATGTTTTGCATGGCTTTAATATCCTCTTTCAGTTTTTCATTCGTGAATGTGCATGCATGGGGAACTGTTATTATATATATATATATATATATATATATATATATATATATATATATATATATATATAATATAAATATATATAATATATATATATAATATATTAATAATATATATAATATATATATATATATATATAATATATATATATATATATATATATATATATATAGTGACAACTGTACGTATTTCTTCGCAGCTTAGCCGTTTCGAAGTTTTTTTGTACAAAATTTATCACATCCACTTTATTGTTATCATCTCAAACTTTTTTCCTCCGTACCGTATGAAATGTTCATGAAATTTCCATGCAGATGGTGTTTAAAATTTTTATTGTGAAACTTTACATAGTTATTCTTAGGTCCGCGTCATATTTATCCATTTATTTGATGCTTAAATGCTTTCGTGCATGAATTGTAGATCTCATTATTGCTTCTATAGTATTTCATATAATTCAAATTCAACTATTGAATTACAGTATAAATTATATCGGTGTACGTTGCTTTACTTATACGATTTATATGAACGTCAGAACACTTATACATAAACATTATTATTATAGTGACATTGAAACATTTCTTACCGCAATGATACTGATCTCAAGGTAAGGGTTTCACTTTTATTGAACACAAAATTTTGGGAACATAACATAGCTACACCAGCTGTAATTCTTTAGAGAGGGGCTGCGCCTAATAAACTAATGCAGACAAGTTTTAGTTTCGCATTACTTAAAACATCCAATCAGCCAATAGCATTTTGAATTTATTCAAATATGAAGCGTATTTGTCGGAAGCCTTGTTAACATAGGTGCCCTAATTATTCTTCTGTTATGTATTGTCTTGAACACACGCACGCACAGACAAAATTGAGCCTATAATTATTAATAATTATGTCATCCCATTAACATATGCTTTAGATCAAGGAAATTTATTATAAACAAAGTACTTCATTCTTAGTGAATACTGCAGGTAACATATGAGAACTAAAATTGTGCCCATACAAATTGAATACAGAATTAGGAAACATTTACAATTACTGTTCTTAGAAGCCACATTTATCCGCCTAAAATTGAAAAAAAAAGATTATTTTCTTTTGCATTTGGATTTGCAAAATGTCGGCTCCGAGCAAGATAATTGCCAGACGAATGTATTATTTTCCTACGGCTAATATATAATTAGTTTGCTGTTTATCAAGACATATTTCTATACATATATAGCCTCACAATTTTGCACTTTGCACAATTAAATAAAGTATTTTAAGACATTTTTCTGTTATTTTTATAATTATAGTTGAGCAGCCAATGGATTGTCAGTATCAGCTTATGATATAATTTTTTTTCCTGCGACAAGAAGCAATATTTTACTGTGCTTATACATATAATTATAATGCAAATGTTCATCGGGACGTGATGCGGAAAGACATCCCGTACATATCTGCATGAAAAGACGCCAATTTAAAATTACTGCATCGCTCTGTAAGATGATCCTTTAAGATGAAAATGAAGATAGCAGTTTTCCTTCTCTTCCACCTCGTAGCCTAATTTTGATACAAGTGAACATAACTCCTGCGCGAATATACTATTATGGCATGCAAACCATAATTAAGTTTCTGTAGAATGAGATCTCGATTTTTTTTCAGCTGTCGCCACTCATCAGTTGGACACTCGCTTCTCAGCTAAGATTCTCTAACGACTATATGCATACTTTACTGGCCCGGCCTTTCTATCAAATACAAACAATAAAAAAGTCGGTCCCATAACATAGGACACCACCCGTTCCTCGTGTTCTAAATCACATATAGCGAGAGTTCTAACGCCACTTGTATGGGAGTCTGATGATCATCTGAGCAACCTGTCGCGGATCAAAGACAAAGTACTGGAAACAATTTAGTGAGTATTCACAAATAAATATGGCGGATCGAAGAGTGTCCAAACAAAGCGATTTATAAGTCTTCAAGAATAAAGGATTCGCGTTCATATATACCAAATAAACAAGTTTTGTCGTACAGCGATTTTAAATGAACCACGTTCTCCAACTATTGAGGTAATTTGGAAGAATCGTAATAATTATTGTAAAATGTAACCCTGGCTGTAGTTCAGATAAAGTTGAAATTGATAATCAGAATTCAGAAACCATCGGGGCTATCAAAGCATCATCTTCGGCGTGTTAAATAGTATAATATATATAATATATATATAATATATATATATATATATATATAATATATATATAATTATATACTATATATATATTTATAATTTAAATCTTATATACTGTATATAAGATGGTTATAAAACCGAGTGCGAAGTCTTCCTGGAGAGTGTAGGAATTTAAAGTATTGAGTTAAAAATCTGAATATCAATTCGCCATCTGAATATAAGGCAATCTGAATATCAATTCGTCAGAAATTAAACAATTTCCAATCATAGTTCCTTTCAAAATACATAAATGCACTGCACGCTGGGTCAGAACTTTATTGAGGTTCCGCGGGCAAAGTTTTCGACAGGGCCGGCCTAGATTCCCGCAGCAAAAAGGTCACAAAAATAGCAAAATTATTTGTATGGGAACTGTTTTCATATAGCGACAACAGTGTTTCTTTTATTTTTGTTTCGTAGCTTCGAAGTTTTTTTACTATACAAAAATTTATCAGATCCACTTCATATAAAGGGTTTCAAACATCCAGCAGCATTCTGCGTTTGTAATCATCTCTCAAACTTTTTTTCTCCATACCGTATGGAATGTTACGCGAAATCTGCATCGAATGCACTACACGGAAATCAAACGCTTTAAAGATCATGTTTTAGTTCATTTTGCGGCAAACGTCTCCAACTGGTGTTACTGGTGTTGTGAAACTTTATATAGTAATTCCTAGGTCGGCTTCGTATTTACCCATCTATTTGATGCTTAAATGCTTTCGTAAATTGTAGATCTCATTATTGCTTCTCTATATATAGTATTTCATATAATTTATATTCAACTATTGAATTAAAGTAAAAAATATATCGGTGTAAGTTGCTTTACTAAAATTTATATGAACATATATAAACATTATTATTTGTGACATTGAAACATTTCTTACCGCAATGATATTGATTTCAAGGTAAGGGTTTCACTTTTATTGAACACAAAATTCTAGGCACATATACATAGCTACATCAGCTGTAATTCTTTAGTAAGTGGCTGCGCCTAATAAACGAAAGCAGATTTATGAATGCAAATGAGTTTTGCATTACTTAGACCCCGTTTACACTAGAACGAAAGTTTCCGGATTTGTAAAATTTTGCGGATTCGCTGTTACACACATGTATCGGATTCGTCAGGTGTTTACACTACACTTTAGTTGTCTCTGTATGCGGATTTGTCCGTTTACACTCACATTACTTGTTCTTGGAGAATTGTTTGGTCGTCATATTGAATTTCTTCGGATTTGTCGTGTAAAGCGTTTACAGAAGAACATTTTCCGGATTCAAATGTTTCTGGATACAAAGTTTCCACAAACTTTTACGGATTCAAAGTTTCCGGATACGGCTTAAAACCGAGTACATTTTCTATCGGATTCGTTGCTGCATGTGTAAACAGCAACATGAATCCGGTATACTAAAACATTCCGCTTTCGTGATTAATCCGGAAACTTTCGTTCTAGTGTAAACGGGGTCTTAAAGGTTGTGTCAGGGCGCTGATTGGCTCTTCAGAAAGGCTCGCTAATCGTTTTATCCGGCGGCGAATGGGGCGCGATTACCAAAATACCTCAGTGACGCACACGTTATATCAAGTGCGGCGCGGCTACATCTTTATTCCTACTTATTATGTTATAAAAACGATTCCAAATACTAAGCACTGCTCAGTAAATAACAAATGTAAACATCTTTTGGTTTTACCGTAAATAGGTAGGCACATGCAATTACGATATTTATACACTGTGTTTATAGTTATTATGCAAAGCAGTACTGTTGTCATAAATTGTTCGAGCGTGCATGTTGTGCAAGCACTGAAACTTCGGAATTCGCCTAGGAATGTAACTAAGTCATATAAAATTCATGGTTAGTCATGGGTAGCATTCTTTCGGGTATAAATTTAACAAGCAGAAGAAAGAGGTGTTTAATATTATGCAAGCGATAACATAACGCCTAAATGGGCCGAAAACCTGACCGATCAGTAGAAGAAAAAGAGTGTGTTACAAGGGAATTGGCAAATGGAAAGTCTACATTACAGATAGCCAAAGTTCTGCAGCTTGATCACCGAACAGTCAAGAAGTATGTAGCGGCGAGTCACCATGGACGTAAGAAACATGTACAGCCAAAATTTAGAAAGCTGAATGGACGCCAACTCCGGCAAATCCATCCCTAAGTTGTAAAGACACCATTAGCAACCAGCAGGCAGATATTTGGTGCCTGTGATATGCCTAATGTGTGCCGTGTCACACATTGAAAAGCGTTGCGCGAGGTTGCAAGCGTCGTGAATGCCGTCAAGACTCCACCTCTCAACCAGAGACACAAAACAAAAAGAATACAATGGGCCAAGCAATACATGAAAGTTGATTTTTCGCGAGTAATATTTACGGATGAATGCCGAGGGACGCTGGATGGACCAGATGGCTGGGCCCGAGGCTGGGTTTCATTGGATCACTCTCCCCCCGTCCGAATGTCCCGTCAGCAAGCGGGAGGCGGGGTGTGTTTTGGGCGGGAATTCTCGGTGACAAATTAGTTGGGCCATTTCGCGTTGACAAGGGGGTAAAAATCGATGCAACTACTCACAGTGCCTTTCTGGACAAGTATTTTCGACCATGGTGGAAAAAGCAGCCACTAAGACTGCGAAAAACACTACTATTTATGCACGACAATGCACCTGCACATGCTGCCAGATATACTGATCCCTTCGGGTCCTCAAAGCTAAGGATGCACCAATTTCATTCAATATTTTCATTTAAGAGTTACTTTTCTCCAAAACGGAACTATTTTACTGATAGCAATCAAACAAGACTTCTATGATTTTTCTTTGTATCCTCCACGTATTAACATCATGCAGCGAGTGCTTCTAGAATGTAATCACCTGAAACTATCTAAAGTTCTGCTCTGCCCTTACTATCTAATGTTTTGCCCTGCCCTTCACTATCCACGCAGGCTACAAAAAGCACGTTTATTGTGCTGTTTCGGTCCGAATTTTGTCCCAAATCACGAGGCCCAATAATATAATGACCCAATAGGCTTTGTAATGCTCGAGAATTGTGCAATAGCTGTCTCGTGTTGCTCAATGTATTTTCCGTCATCCAGAGTGTTGGTTTTCTCCAAACGATGTTGAATAAAATGGTACTTCGGCAATTTCTTTACTGGTTGCTTTGACCTGGAAAACAAATTATCCGATGTTTGGAGGAAATAAAATTAATTGAAAGTTACTGGATTTCAATCTCTACAATTAAGTCGAAATTGCTTGCTAGCGAATATTTGCATATTTTCTTTTGAAATAAGCTGAATTAATTCTGCTAAAATTAAAAGAAATATATGCAAATATTTCGCTAGCGAACTGTTTCTCTGCAAGTGAAAATCCAGCCTAACTGCATGGGTGCCGCTGAAGAGATGTCAATAAAGATTTATTATAGCAAACTGCGATATACAGGGTGAGTAAAAAGAACCCTGACACCTTTAAAATTCAAATTAGCCGCGCATAGTCATCTATTTGTTATTACACGTAAGCTCTGTAAATAAAAAAGGACAGTTTTATCAAATCGTTTTTTTAGCACACGCGCCACGTTGAATTAGTTCAATTGGTTTAAACACTTTCGCATTAATTAACCACGTCCTGTTGATTGTGCACATGGAAATTGTCAAATTCTAGCCGTAAGTTCGCGGCCAATTTGAATTTCAAAGATGTCAGATTTTTTTACTCACCCTGTACAGGGTGTCCCAAAAAAGTCCCCCTATTGAAAGTTTTTGTTGGAATTTGAATGCATGATCAACGCAATCAGGCGAAAATTGCATGTAGCAATAAAGATGCCTCTTTTGTTTTTCAGTTTGAATGACGGCTTTTAATTGTGGTCAAACCTGCGGATTAAATAAACAATCGAACAAAGAGTGAGCAGTTTCTTTACTAGAAGCCAGTTTCTTTCTTAAACCGTATCGTTGCAAAACTTAGCCTGCATGTGTGTGTGTGTACCTGTAAATTGTCTTCATATGACAAGTGTAATGGCTTCCACGTGCAATCTTGAACGACAGAATAACTTCACCAATTATGGTACCATTTCTGGGAAACGCAGTTTCAAACGATGGTTCTAAACCAATTATTGTTTTTTGCATCACAGGACCATCGTTTGGGAAGTTATCCCCTTTGCATTCAACAAGGCCAACAAATTTTCCGTCTTTCAGGCTTAAAATAAATGATGGGGCATTTTAATGAATGTTGTGTTTATTGTGGGTTAACAGAAGCGCAGCTAAGATTTTTTGGTCGGGATCGAGGGGCCAGGGTAACAGTGTGACTCAAGACAAAGTTCGCAGTTCGAACAGAACATTCTGCGCGCAGAATTCTGTGGAATTTTATTATCTATGACCCCTGCCTTACCTACGCCTTTGTAGTAATCGCAATTAAAGCTTCAAATCATTCGACTGAAATGTCATTGTGGGTGTTCTCAATTTCTTGACAACCCCGTTTGGAGTTTATCGACCAAAACGACCCCAATTTCCCGTTTTTTTAATTGTATAAGAGTTTATGTTAAACGTGATGGCCGATACTATTGTAGAGTCTATTGGATTCCAAACCCCTTACTTGTTCTTCTTATCAGCTGGGAGAGGGCGTTGATACGAGCTTATTTTATACGCTCTTTTCAGATCGCAGAGATCATCAGCCGATAGCGAAGTATTTGGATTTCATCAGCCGATATCACAGTATCTCGTTACTCACGACGTGAATGTCCTGAGACATCCAGGAAACAAAATTTGGCTTCAAAGATGGTGGTCAAGTTAGCGTTCAAGGTTTTATGGACCTGGGAATGGTCCATTGTCATTGATAAACTGTGAAGCACGTCAATGTCGATGTTAGGTTTGTGGGCACGAATGTGATAAATTATGAAATACGAATGTGGGCATCACAACAAAAATATGTGTTTTTTTCGCACTCAGCTAGCAAACTTCATATTTAATGCACACTTATACTGCACATAATTATTTAATGCCCTATAATTATGTTAAAATAATCATGTAAAGCTTTCTCTTATGTGGAAATCTGAAAGCTATCAGTACAAGCTGTTCTTTTTCTTTTTTTTAAGTAATAATTAACAAATCTACCTTGAACAAACAAAGAGTGATTTCGTTTCTAATCAATCGGCAAATTTTTCAAACATTTTTCAGGCTAAGCCAATCAGAAAGTCTAATTTTTTATAAATTATTATAATATAACATTTATAGTACGCGCGTGCTGATTGGTCGAGAAGCGTGTTTCTATAACTGTATAGAAACACGGGAATTTTCCCACCGAACTTGACAAGCGAAGCGATGTAATGAGAATTTGTAATTGAATCGAATCATAATATTTGTACAAAATCTTTTTATTGAGTTATATTATTATATAAAAGAAATAGAAAACAGTTTTTCCTGTGTTTCTATACAGTTTTAGTATACACCCGACTATTGTCTATTACAAATCTTACATTCTAATTGGCTACTCAACCATTGCCTATTCGTGATAGTGAAAGTTTGGGAAAAATTCGCTCGCGCGACCGTATAAAATTGAATTAATTGAATTATTTTTCGGTGTAATTGCGGTGTATCGATTATTTTCTCGAAATTAATAAATCTAGGTACAGGGTGTATACTAAAACAATTAGACAACTCGCCTTCGTTGTCTATGAGCGAATAGTCAACTCAGGCTTCGCCTTCGTTGATTATTCACTCATAGACAACTCGGACACGTTGTCTAATTGTTAAATAGAAACACTTGTGGTAGTTTGGGAGAACTCGAAATAACGTGGAAAAACTCGCCCTACGGGCTCGTTTTCCCACTGATTAATTCTCGTTCTCCCAAACTCCCACGCGTGTTTCTATAACAGTATAGAAACACGGAAAATGTTTTCTATTTCTTAAATGTAAAATTGTAAATAAGACACCTTTTCACCGGAAATAGTCAATATTTATGCATTCTGATTGGGTACAGAAAATGGAGACAAGTTTGCTGATTGGTCTAGAACGAGATTCCTCTTTTGTGTCCTCGAAAACGCTGCAAACATGAAAACACGACAAAGTAATTTTTTCCTATAGGGGACATGTCGCAGTGCTTGGAAGCTTTCGTCCAATTGGATAATGCTTTTCTATGCTTTCTAAAGAACGAAGCTATGCTATTGGTTGAAACAGAAATCTATTGCAAAGTTCAGCCAATGAAAATCATTCATGCGAGGAGCTGCGACACTACCCCCCCCCTCCTATAAGGGAACATAATAAACACTCTTGACATGTCAAGTTTCATTATCATCGTACCTAATATCACTACGAGCGTCCAGAATTCTGCCATCTTCAAACCGAAGTGATCGCTCCATTGTAAAGCCAGCTGGGAAACATTGCCTGAAGAAACTGGGTATTTCTTTAGGATAATTGGTGAAAGTTCGGTTGCCGTAATGGAAACATACAGAGAGAATGTCAAATGAGAACGGTAGAGGCCCACCTTTAGTGATGCGGATTTGGGCCATTTGATTTCCACTTGAGAGATAATAAAAATGCTTATCAGTTATATTTACAAGAGAAAAAGTACAGATATAGTTTTGGAATGGGTCTGGAAGTTGAATTTTTCACTGTTACTAAGGGAAAGATATTTTATATTGCAAAGGTCGCTTTACGAACAAGGTGATCTGATATGGCGGGAAAGGACTAGGACTCATATAAAAATCCATTTCTCGGTTGAAACAACTTAATATCTCGTGAAATATACTTTATTTCGGTTTCAAATTTATATCAGAGCTATAGTTCTTAGAACTAAACATAATCGCAAAATTTTGAATGGTTCCATCAAGAATGATAAAAGATATAATCGATTAAACACTGCAGAATGGATTTCTATTTTCACAAACTTTCTGAGCGCTGATTGGCTGAAATATGAGCGCGATATCACCTGGAATGTAATGGGAAACAGCCATAGAGGCGATCTGCCCGCGAGGGCGAAGCGTGCTTTGTTTTTCAGGCTCGTCACGGTCGCATGGGCAGATCAGAACGGTAATGAAGGATCGGTTTTAGGGCTGTTTTCCACTAGCTGGAATTTTGCGCGCGAAGCGGAATTTTCTGTGTTCTTCTCACATTAGTTCTGCATAAAAGAGTGCCAACAATAAAAAATCCCGCTCGGCCGGCAGGCAACGGAATACCGCGTGTTGAAAACAGGCTTAACTCACGCGAAAATATTTCCTTTCCCCATTGCTTCCATAGAGAACACGTGGTTGTTCACCATTCCTTCGAGATTCACCTTGTAATCCATGAGTTCATGCAATCCGTATTGCTCAACGTCGGCCTGTGAAAACATTATAAAATTCTCGTTTTTAAAAAAGTCAATACTCTGTAAAACAAGTTTGTTAGAAACTAATTTAAGACTTCTTGTTACTCCGGCGTCAGCGACGGAGTTGAAAATTCGCCTCGGTTTTGTTTTGTTGTTGTTTTTTTTTTTTTATTTTTCGTCGTCGCAAGTCTGAAATGGCGCGAAACTGCCGAAACATTCTAGTATTTTAATCATGTATATGACCGTATTTATCTACGTCCCAGTCTTATCTCCCAAGAGTTGTGGTGCACAGCTTTGGCTAATTTTCCGATGCGCGATTCGATTTCGCTCGCATGATACGGCAATTCCTCCAAGAGGAACAAATAAACCGTTCTTTTCATGCTTTTCGATTAAGTTTAGATCAAATTGGGGTAAGAATATATTCAATACATGTAGATTCTGGTCCTATTTTAATAATATCGGTGCTATTTCGCCGTTTAACAAGATGATGTGGTCGTGTATGGGCGCGTTGACACGTCGTAGTTTGCACAGGATTGAAGATATAATATATAAGCGCCTATTCCAAAAGCAAAGTGTAAGACAAAGCGAATATATCATGCGGTTTATTTACATTTTTGAACAATTGAACTTCTATACTTTTTAAAGTACGATGTGCTTCTGAATTTCGCGATCGAACATTTAGGTTCGCAAGGCATAATGCGAATATGAACTGTATTGTTTATGTTCAGAAGCTCTATATTGAAGACTGGCACGTGCGCCGGAGTTAACGCCAGAACTGGCGTCTTGTTATAGATTAATCTCTCTTTTGAAAAAATTACATTTGCTATGATAAAAACAACCGCAAAAATTGGTTGTTTTAACCGCGTTTTAACTTATTTTAAATAATAATAAATGGTCTAACTATAAATGAACCACATTGTTGCATGTACTGTTTCTACGCATGCACTGTATAATGTAAAGGCAATTACAGTGAATGAAATAATCAAGAGGCGCTCTTGTTCACTTTTCCCCTAACCTGCTTGTCGCAGATTTCTCGAGGTTATTCTTCTACTCCTCTTTAAACATATATTTATTGAGAGTTAGAATCATCAACTATATACCTACAAATACCCTATTTTGCGGTCTATTTTGGAAAGTCGTTACGGCGCATTTGATGCGAAGTTGCTAGAAGACGATGCATTGACGTTGCTCGCAGGGTCGTAACTAGAATGATAGTCATACATTCAGTTTTGTGAGGATTTATAATGTAAGCTCTTGACACTTGAAATCCGTCGGCCAGAACTGAATAATATGAATATACATGCACCACTTCAATTATCGTTCTAGTTACGCCACTGCTGCTCGTACGTTATATTGTAACATGTAAATCCCAACGAAGAATAGCTGCAGTGCGTGTTTATATAGCTATAATTATATTATCCCTGAGCCGGTACGAAGTACCGAGCGAGGGTACTAATTCCGCCCGGAGATTTTAAATACGCTCGGGAATGCAAATGCGAAGTCAAAGCTGTGCGGCATTATGCCATGGACGTTGGGCGTTTTTGTAAGTTATGCGCATGCGTTAGTTTAAGACGAGTTAAAACTGGTAACTAGGAAACGTTTGCAAGCGTGCGATTGGCTAAATTAAAATTTTGGTTCGCGTCAGCATAACTGATATTTTGAATTATAAAACTTTTTTAAAAATACTTTTCATTTGTATGGTTTTGAATATATACGAAAAACTCACTCGTAAAATTTTATTAAAATATAAAGTGAAAGATGCTTTCGGATAGAAAAACTTTGATTCAACAAGATGGTGAAAAATTTACGATTTTAAAGCATTTTTAGAGTGTTTTTGAACAGGTAGATAGGTAGATATTGCATTTTAAAACAGGTGAGTTTACATTTATATACACTACAAATTTACATTTATAGTGCGCATATGCATGTTCCATTTGGTATATGTTCACATGCGCATAACAATCATTTATCAACAAACGTACGACACCTCTTGGAATTTATTCGTCATTTTTGTTCAAATGATTTTGATTGGGAAAATATTTATTTTTAAAGGTGAATCTAAACAAAAGGGAATTTAATTTTCGCTAAAAATCGTAGTACAGTATTTAACACCATTCGTAGCACAATTAATGAATTATTATAGTTGAATGTGATTATAGTTGAAAGTCGAGAGTCGACTTTATAATTGTGACTTTATAATTGTACTTGATATAGGATTTTACTTATACGACTGAATTCGATTATTCAGCATAAATGAGTATTGTAGAGTTTCGGAGTTGGAAATATATGTTTATTGCTTCAGGCGAGGGGATTTTGCATGCATGTATTTCTGTTATAAATATTAAGACTGAAAAATGAAACAGTGTCAGGAGCTGGAAAAAATTATCGAATAATCTGAAAACCCTCCTCCCATATATAAAAAATCAAATGGACCGCTTCATATTTCTCCACACTGCAATCATTTGTCTCAAGAATATATCATTCAATTTTTAGGTAAAAGACTTTCCAACTTCCTCACCTTTTTAAGGGCCTATTCTAGTTTGAATTAATATAGTGGTTTAAGTTAATCTCTTTGAACAGGTTATACGAATGTCTGGATTTGGTAGCGTAACCTAAAACGTGCCTGCAAATAGATTTTAATGTCGGCAGTGCCGGGATATCGCTTCACATTATTATTTCACTATATTCGTAAAATTTCATTCATATATGGCTAGATCCCGCCTGAACGAAGCGGGATCTCGCCTTTAACGGGATATAAAAACATCAAGCCCATCTAAAAGCCCTTAATTCACCCCTCACCAGCTATTTTGAAGTGATATTTAGGATTCCTTAGAGCGCTATAAACGACAAACACCCCGTAAATTAAAATAGAGGTCACTGACTTTTTCGAGATAAAAGCCCATTTCTCCTTATTACAGCTGTTTGCGTGCGTCATATAAGTCTAATGTATAAACACGGTAAACAACTTAGCTCAATCTGGCGTATTATAATGAGAAGGAGGAAGGAACCATCAGAATACGATGTACAACAAAACAACGGTAATGCTGGTCTTGGGAAAACAACAAATTGACTCACAAGTCTATTATATTAAAGTCTGAGACGAGAGCACGGTTTATCTTTGCACATGCAGTTGATTTTAATCACAGTTAATAGAATATACATGGTTTGGAGATCTCAAAAAACTACAATACAACTCATTGACTTTGAAGTAGATTTATGCAAAAAATTAAGTGTTCCTTTCTCGTCACATGTCTAGTATATTTTGCACAGATAAACCAATAGCAATCTTATAATTAACACATTTTTCAAGTCAACGTCTTAGCAAGATGAATATGCCATTGCGGGTAAATTTGGCTAAAATACAATAGACACGTGACGAGAAAGGGACCATTTTTTGCATAAACCTGGACAATGACATAGTTAATGAGTTGTATTGTACTTTTATTTAGTCTCCAAGCCCTGTATATTCTATTAAATGTGTTTTAATCAAGGTTGTCCTTTCAGGATTCAATTCAGAGAGAGGGAAAATGTTTTATCATCATGCATGCCTATCAAATTAATCAAAGTACGAAAGTTGCCCACTGGAGCGAGCAACAATATTAATATTACAAAAGTTTCCATTTTTTTCAAAAACTATAGCTTATGCTTAGCGATCACTGGTCAATAAGTTGTATTATTTCAAATAGTATTTTTATTGGGATAATGGTTCCCATGGAGCTGGCCGCCATCTTGGATGCGTCAAAGACATGAAATTAACGAACATTGCGGTCCCAAAATATGCTCTGGACACTGTGTTTGGAAAAGCAAGGATTCTAACCCACATCTTTGAGTTCAAAACGCAACAAATATAATCATTTCTTCAAGATAAATAAAACTCCAGCCGCAGAGAACTTATCTCAGATTGATCTGATTTAGCAGCCATCATGCATGACTGTACTAATGAATTGCTATATTTCGGCAAAATTCCAACATACACTTATCTTAGCTTTGAGGAATTGCAAGTATTTTCCTTTGTTGAATATAATATACAATATACAATATACAGTATATAAATATATAAATGTATAAGGCTTACCACGGGGTCCATTTATAAAAAAAACTGTTGTTAACGACGTGTTGTCTCAGGCACAGCCGTATAGGATCATATAAGACGACGCATGCATCATTTAAAACAAAATATAGTCGACGTGCTTGAAAACATGTTTATATTGAGAACTAAACGGATTTGACTTGGCATGTTGTAAAGTGCGGACTAGACTGTACTGGATTGGACTGGACAGGACTGGACCGGAAAAGTGCGGATTGTGATCAAGAACTTGTAAATGACGGACTATAGTGCGTGCTATAAAACGCGGACTTGTAAAGTGCGGAATTGTAAATAAATACGGACTATTTTAATTAAAAAGCAAGAAGTATATATATGCCAAGACTATAAACGCATTCGCGATATTATGTAAATTGTGAAACTAGAGTTTAGAATAGTTCGGCAAATTTGTAAGATCGCGTATAAGTATATATATAGGGGGTCTTGCCTTTCGGAAATTTTCTTCGAAAAGGAAAATTAGTGGAGAGATCTGAGGAAAATGTTATAACTAGTCCGTTATTTACAAGTCCGCACTTTACAAGTGCGCGTCTTATATCACGAACTGAGTCCGTCATTTACAAGTCCGTGATTTGTAAGAAACTTGTAAGTCTGTGTTTTTCCGGCAGGGTTGCCAGATTACTGAAAAAAGAAGCCAAACTTTGTTATAGTCGACCCTTTGGTTTCTTTGTTTGAAACAAAGAAAACCATGATTATGGTAATAATATTTGGCTAATGACTCCGGCGTGAGCGACAGAGTTGAAAATTCGCCTAGGTTTTGTTTTAGTTTTTGTTTCTGTTATTATTTGTCGTCGTCGCGGGTGTGTTTTGGCGCGAAATATACTAGTATTTGAAAAGCGTATGTATGTTGAACGTATTTATCTACGTCGCAGTTTTGTCGCCCAAGATTGTGGTGCACAGCTTTGGCTAATTTTTCGATGCGCGATTTGATTTCGCTGATACGGCAATTCTTCTAAGACCCTGTTTACACTAGAACGAAAGTTTCCGGATTCATCACGAAAATGGAATGTTTTAGTACCGGATTCATGTTGCTGTTTACACATGCAGCAACGAATCCGATAGAAAATGTACTCGGTTTTAAGCCGTATCCGGAAACTTTGAATCCGTAAAAGTTTGTGGAAACTTCGTATCCAGAAACATTTGAATACGGAAAATTTTCTTGTGTAAACGCTTTGGACGACGAATCCGAAGAAATTCAATATGACGACCAAACAATTCTGCAAGAACAAGTAATGTGAGTGTAAACGGACAAATCCGCATACAGAGACAACTAAAGCGTAGTGTAAACACCTGAAGAATCCGATACATGTGTGTAACAACGAATCCGGATAACTTTACAAATCCGGAAACTTTCGTTCTAGTGTAAAAGGGGTCTAAGAGGAACAAATCAACCGTTCTTTTGATGCTGTTCGATAAGTTAGATTTAATTGGGGAAAGAATACATTTAACACATGTAGATGCTGGTCCAATTTTAATAATATCGCTGCTATTTCGCCGTTTGACAAGATGTGGTCGTGTATGGGCGCGGTGACACGTCGCAGTTTGCACAAGATTGAAGATTTAATATAGCTATGTAAGCGCGAATTCCAAAGGCAAAGTGTAAGACAGAGTGAATCTATCATGCGGTTTATTTACATTTGTGAACAATTGAACTTCTATAGCTTTTAAAGTACGATATGCTTGTGATTTTTTGCGATCGAACAACACTTAGGTCTGCAAGGCATGTAAATGAGCATGAACTGTATTGTTTATGTTCAGAAGCTTTATATTGAAGACTGGCAGGTGCACCGCACGCCGGAGTTAACGCCAGAACAGGCGTCTTGCTTATTCAGTAATCTGGCAACCCTGTTTTCCGGTCCAGTCCTGAGTCCGCATTTTACAACAAGCCATTTGATTTCCCTGCTGCATGTCCTGTACTCGTCGGTTTCGGGATGTAGTTTTATGTTAACTACAGCCGGACTTTGCAACTTTGTGTAACGAATTTCTGGATGACAATATACTACTCACACTGTATATTCTTTAACAACACTGATATAATTATAGCGCGAGACTCATTAATTAATTAAATAAGCTTTTATTAATTTTGGTGAATTTGATGAAAACCTTCGATGTCTAGCTGATATTGTCGTGCCGTTTACGCCATTAACAACACTCATGTTGCAGCTGTTTTCACAACGCCGTTAAAATGCATTTGAAGGCTGCTCCCGAGGGCCACAAGTTATTCGCGGCGTCGTAAATTGAAACTCCCTTTGGCAAGCAAAGTTAGAATCGTAAACTGAAACAAAACCGCATCTCAAAGTCGCTATACTTTATATTATCTTCGAGGTACCGGATAACTCGTTAGCTATAATTTGAATATACTGTAATATATACTGCATATATCAAATTTAAAATTATTTTATAAAAAAGAATTTTTGAAATAATCACAATCCAGTGGATAATTTAATCCAACTTTTAATGCTTGCGAGTCGTGTTAACATGACACAGACCACACAGTCACAGATAAAATATGCAATTGATCCGTCTAAATTGCCTAACTGAATCATTCAGATTCGTGCCATATTTGACCTATATTTTATATTGGGCTATACTGTAAGCATAGGCATATGTTTTTATTCTTATTTACAATCAACTAAACCTTTTTTTGTGCTTTTATGAGGATCTTATAAACGTGGTTTTTGATCTATACACGTCTTTCCACTATCGCGCGTAGTCAATTTGCTCGAGAACTTTCAGCCCTTTAGCCCCAAGGCGGTTATCACACGATGTAGGCCACAGCTTTAGAATTGGAGCGGCTACAGCAGCGGCGTCGCAAGGTTTGTCTTATTGGCTCATCGACACAGTATCAATAAAAAATGGCCAGTCAGGATAGTATTCTCGCTAACAGGTATAAATTCATGCACAGCCCCAGAAACCCCAGCGAGATAACGTTCAATAAATGTTCACTTTTCGAGTTTGAAACCTGCTATTGCTATTAGTTAAAACGGATTTAGTTTCACTTGGACCCTAAAATGCTCGCACCGATCCCTATACCTTACGGGTAACCTAGTTTCCAACTCTAAAAATGGCTGATAGACTTAGACCTAATTAGAACGAATCGGATATATTGACGCAGATCTAGTGAATAAATGATGCTAATGAACAGTAATCAAAATATGGCTGTATCAGAGCATTATAAACCATTTGCATAGTATGAGAGGGAATAAAGGGCCTGAGTCTTTTCATAACCGCTATACCAGCCCCTACTTTTTTACAAATTTTTTCAATATGCTTGTCCAAACTCATCTTTTCGTCAAGGAATACCCCAGGTTGTCATTTAACATTGCTGGATAGTCACAGACCTTTTAAAGGTTGTGCGTCGATCCAATAATCATTACTTTTGTCTTGGTTAAACGTGTGATAAATGTCGTACCCCACGCAATGACGTCACACCAATGGCGAAAACATCAACGTCCCAAAGGAGCGGGAATGTGAAATCGACACAAATTCAAGAGATCAATTGAAAATTGTATTCTTCATTCTTTTAAGTAAATAATAAAACGCCTATTGAATTTCACATGATATGAAAAATTACCGAGCCTTAGTTTGTCATTATCAACCTCAGTCTTCGGCTTGATAACTTTCATATCATGTTCAATAATCGCTAAATATTACACTGTTCATTAATTTTGACAACAATCAATGTCGGTACATATTAACATGCAGTTAAATGACAACTAAGCTGTCAGGCGTAATATTTTAGCTCGGAATAATATTATGCCCCTTCCTTGAAGATAGCTGTGAGCTATTGGATTGGGTTAGATTAATAAATCTTTTGGCTTATTTACTGCAAGAAATACGCAAGTATGGGTTACGGCTATGCGGGAAAGCTACCGGCCATATAAAGTGTTTGAATTCCCAGCAGGCGTCTGCCCGGTAAACAGTCTCGTGTAAACTCATGCAGTCATAAAGATTTCAATTTTGGATAAGCAAAACCTTGAAGCATAGAACATTGGAACAAAGGATGAGTATTGTGATAATTTCACGCAGACAAAATTGTTACTGACAATACATGCATTATAGAACCATACCATAGGCTACATTTATTTTATTATTATATTCTCAGTCGCCAACTTACCATTCTCGATACAGATATAGCTGATAATGCCTCTAAGAAGATTCTCATAAGCCAAATTTTGTTCTACTTCGTCCGTTCTTTGACGTAATTTGCACTCACATAAAATCCTGTTGTTTTGTTTGGTCGCGAATATATAAAAAAATAATATCTTGAATTCTTCAAAAATACCCGTGGGGAATATGAAAACATTGACAGGTGTATAAACTATAAAGACGTCACTCACGCTGCGATGGCTCTTGAGTGCTCGGAATTTCCATATTACTTATATTCTTATCTGCAGAAGATAATCGCCCATGCACCACGTGATCGCACAGGAGCATTATGATTGGAGCTCATATTGATGAGTTATCAAATGTCCCATCTGTTTATTCGGCCATGTGAAGATTACCGGAAGCTTGATGGACGCTTTTTATTTTTATTACGCTTGGTTTTGACGCGACGAGGTCAGTTGTTTAAATGCCTGACGTGCATTAAAATTTGGAACTAAACCTTTACGTATATTGCAGTCATTGGCATCAGCGCGATTCTATAGCACTAACGAAAGGCCAAAAACATGACAAATACCGAATGATTAAGAAACAGTTAAGACGAAACCTGAATTCACGGAATGAATTATAACTGAGCGACTGAATACCGGGGAAGTGTTAACAGTAATCATATAATCGGGTTCGGATACGCATCAAAGATGGAAACAGTTCAGCCAAAAGCGAATAAAAAAGTGTGGATTGCGTAAATGGAATCTTTCGTCACAAGAAAAGACCGGAATACATGCCCGGTTTATTGAACTCGCTACGAGAGCTGCCTTTATTTTGCAAAGCTCGACTGATTTAAAAGTGAAACAGCAAGAAAAGCTTGAAACGTATTGCAGGCAGAATATTTTCGAATTTTATTATAGGCCTATGTAAGAATAATCATGGGATATAAAAAGAAGCACGGACGTTCAGAAGCTGCTTTGACTAAGCTGGGGAAAGGGAAAGGAACCTCGACTATTATATCGTCAACGTCTATTGCTAACGTCGATTCTTACTTTACGAGCTTCGACTGATTCAGTTAAATAAATAATCCACCATGACATGCGTGATCCTACATCGTGCGCCACAACTTTTTTGAAAATGTAAGGGGCAAAAGATCAAACTTCACCTCTTTGCATCAAATTTGTATAAAAACAAAATTAGGAGGTACAACTCAAAACAGCTTTTAACAAATTTATTTTTCATTGTACAGCAATTCCAATTGATATGGTGTGAGAGACTCAGTCCTCTCTAAAATGCATGATCCCTCCATTAGTTACTTCCACCACTCCAAACACTTGACCTCTCTTCTATATAACATGCACTTGATGAAAATATTTTTAGTCAGGTTTTAAGATGAATGTCCAGAAAACCGTACAACACCATTTCGATATTCGAAGGCACCTTTATGGACTCGTTCAGTTTACCAGTTAACGGCGAAATTAATTGCAAATAGATAGCTAAGCTTTTTTAGTAATGTATGGTATTTCAACAAGTTGTCCGCTGTTTACCAGTGCAACCATTTTTCGGCTGCAAAATTTAAAAATTCAATTTAATCTTATCGGTGATCCACATAGGGGATCCACATGAGGTTTCTTGAACTGGCCAAGAAAATGAAACTTATGTTGCGAACTCCCACTGATTTAAAAAAGATTATGCAGGGAGACATGCGTCATTCTATCGTGCGCAACCACTTTTTGAAAATATACATCATCCAAAAAGAAGCGAAGATTACATAAAAAACTGAATGATAAATGCAGAATTAAATAATTATTTTACTGAAACAAAATCTTCCCAATTGTATAGAGTAACTTTTACCAGGCTTTGGGCAGACGTAAATCTTCTGGTATCCTCCCACAAGCGCAAAGTTCAGAAGCTGTTGCATTTATAATTATGAATGGAATCCAAGATCTTACGAGGTTCGAACGGAATGGGTTATGACAAACAGATTACTTATGCGTTATCGGTTACTTCCCCCACTCCAGACATTTGACCTCTCTTCTATATAACATGCACTTGATGAAAAATTTTTAGACAGGTTTTAGGATGAATGTCCAGAAAACCCTACAACACCATTTCGATAATCAAAGGCACTTTTATGGACTCGTTCAGTTTACCAGTTAACAGCGAAATTAATTAAAGTCTTTTTAGTAATGCATGAAATTTCAAGAAGTTGTCCGCTGTTTACCAGTGCAGCCATATTTTGGCTAAAATATAAAATTCAATTTTACCGTATCGGGGAATAGGGGATATATACACATTAGGTTTCCTGAACTAGGCAAAAAAATGAATCTTATGTGGCGAACTACGACTGATTTAAAAAAGATTATGATAGGAGACACGCGTAATCCTAACGTTCGCAACCAATTTTTTGAAAAAAAACATCATCCAAAAAGAATGGAAGATTTTATAAAAAACTGAATAATAAATGTGGGATGAAATAATTATTTTACTAAAACAATATCTTCCCAATTGTATAGAGTACCTTTTGCGAGGCAATGGGCAGACGTAAATCTTCTGGTATCCTCCCACATGCGCAAAGTTCAGAAGCTGTTGCATTTATAATTATGAATGGAATACAAGATCTTACGAGGTCCGAATGGAATGGGTTATGACAGACAGATTACTTATGCGTAATATCGGTTTATCGGTTACTTCCCCCACTCCAGACACTTGACCTCTCTTCTATATAACATGCACTTGATGAAAAAAGTTTAGACAGGTTTTAGGATGAATGTCCAGAAAACCTTACAACACCATTTCGATATTCGAAAGCAACTGTATGGACTCGTTCAGTTTACCATTAAAACGGCAAAATCAATTGAAAATAGATAGCTAAGCTTTTTTAGTAATGTATGATATTTCAACAAGTTGTCTGCTGTTTACCAGTTCAACTATTTTTCGGCTGCAAAACTTAAAAATTCAATTTTATCTTATCGCTGGAATAGGGGATCCACATAAGGTTTCTTGAACTGACTAAGAAAATGAAACTTATGTTGCGAACTCCGACTGATTTAAAAAAGATTATGCAGGGAGACATGCGTAATCCTATCGTGCGCAACCAAAATTTTTGAAAATAAACATCATCAAAAAAGAATGGAAGATTACATAAAAAACTGAATGATAAATGTAGAATGAAATAAATATTTTATTAAAACAATATCTTCACAATTGTAATAAGTATCTTTTGCGAGACATTGGGCAGACGTAAATCTTCTGGTATCCTCCCACATGTGCAGAGTTCAGAAGCTGTTGCATTTATAATTATGAATGGAATCCAAAATCTTACGAGGTCCGAATGGAGTGGGTTATCCCAAAAAGATTACTTATGCGTTATTGGTTACTTCCCCCACTCCAGACACTTGACCTCTCTTCTATATAACATGCACTTGATGAAAATAGATTTAGACAGGTTTTAGGATAAAAATGCCCAGAAAACCGTACAACAAAACCGTAAACGGCAAAATCAATTGAAAATAGATAGCTAAGCTTTTTTAGTAATGCATGAAATTTTAACAAGTTGTCCGCTGTTTACCAGTGCAACCATTTTTCCGCTAAAATATAAAAATTCAATTTTACCGTATCGGGGAATAGGGGATACACACTAGGTTTCATGAACTGGCCAAGAAAATGAACCTTATGTGGCGAACTCCGACTGATTTAAAAAAGATTATGCAGGGAGACATGCGTAATCCTTTCGTGCGCAACCAATTTTTTTGAAAATAAAAATCATCCAAAAAGAAGCAAAGATTACATAAAAAACTGAGTGATAATGTAGAATGAAATAATTATCTATTATAACAATATCTTCCCAATTGTATAGAGTAACTTTTGCGAGGCAATGATGGAAGATTACATAAAAAACTGAATGATAAATGTAGAATGAAATAATTATTTTACTAAAACAATATCTTCCCAAATGTATAGAGTAACTTTTGCGAGGCATTGGGCAGACGTAAATCTTGTTGTATCCTCCCACATGTGTAGAGTTCAGATACTGTTGCATTTATAATTATGAATGAAATGCAAGATCTTAAGAGGTCCGAATGGAGTGGGTCATTACAAACAGATTACTTATGCGTTATCGGTTACTTCCCCCACTCCAGACACTTGACCTCTCTTCTATATAACATGCACTTAATGAAAAAAGTTTAGACAGGTTTTAGGATGAATGTCCAGAAAACCCTACAACACCATTTCGATATTCGAAGGCAACTGTATGGACTCGTTCAGTTTACCAGTTAACGGCGAAATTAATTGCAAATAGATAGCTAAGCTTTTTTAGTAATGTATGAAATTTCAACAAGTTGTCCGCTGTTTACCAGTGCAACCATTTTTCGGCTGCAAAATTTAAAAATTCAATTTATCTTATCGGTGGAATAGGGGATCCACATGAGGTTTCTTGAACTGGCCAAGAAAATGAATCTTATGTTGCGAACTCCGACTGATTTAAAAAAGATTATGCAGGGAGACATGCGTGATCTTATCGTGCGCAACCAAAATTTTTGAAAATAAACATCATCCAAAAAGAAGCGAAGATTACATAAAAAACTGAATGATAAATGCAGAATTAAATAATTATTTTACTGAAATAAAATCTTCCCAATTGTATACAGTAACTCTTGCCAGGCTTTGGGCAGACGTAAATCTTCTGGTATCCTCCCACGTGCGCAAAGTTCAGAAGCTGTTGCATTTATAATTATATGAATGAAATGCAAGATCTTACGAGGTCCGAATGGAGTGGGTTATCACAAACAGATTGCTTATGCGTTATTGGTTACTTCCCCCTCTCCAGACACTTGACCTCTCTTCTATATAACATGCACTTGACGAAAAAATTTTAGATAGGTTTTAAGATGAATGTCCGGAGGACCCTAAAAACCATTTCGATATTCGAAGGCACCTTTATGGATTCGTTCAGTTTACCAGATAACAGCGAATTATGCAGGGAGACATGCGTAATCCTATCGTGCGCAACCAATTTTTTGAAACTAAACATAATCAAAAAAGAATGGAAGATTTTATAAACATTGAATAATAAATGTAGAATGAAATAATTATTTTACTAAAACAATATCTTCCGAATTGTATAGAGTAACTTTTGCGAGGCAATGGGCAGACGTAAATCATCTGGTATCCTCCCACATGCGCAAAGTTCAGAAGCTGTTGTATTTATAATTATGAATGGAATCCAAAATCTTACGAGGTCCGA